ATCTCATTCCAAAATCATGGGCATTAATATGGAGTTGGTCTCCCCTTTGCTTCTATAACAGCCTCCACTCTTCTGGGAAGGCTTTCCACTAGATGTTGAAACATTTCTGCAGGGACTGGCTTCCATTCAGCCACAAGAGAATTACTGTGGTCGGGCACTGATGTTGGGCGATTAGGCCTGGCTCGCAGTTGGTGTTCCAATTCATCCGAAAGGTGTATGATGGGGTTGAGGTCAGGGCTCTGTGCACGCCAATCAAGTTCCTCCACATTGATTTCGACAAACCATTTTTGTATGGACGTTGCTTTGTGCACATGGGCATTGTCATGCTGAAACAGGAAAGGGCCTTCACCAAACTGTTGCCACAAAGTTGGAAGTGCAGAATCATCTAGAATGTCATTGTATGCTGTAGCGTTAAGATTTCCCTTCACTGGAACTAAGGGGCCTAGTCCGAACCATGAAAAACAGCCCCAGACCATTATTCCTGCTCCACCAAACTTTAGAGTTGGCACTATGCATTCGGGCAAGTAGTGTTCTCCTGGCATCAGCCAAACCCAGATTCGTCCGTCGTACTGCCAGATTTGGTGAAGCGTGATTCATCACACCAGAGAATGCATTTCCACTGCTCCAGATTCCAATGGCGGCGAGCTTTACACCACTCCAGCCTACGCTTGGCTTTGCGCATGGTGATCTTAGGCTTGTGTGCCGCTGCTCGGTCGTGGAAACCAATTTCATGAAGTTCCTGACAAACAGTTATTGTGCTGACGTTGCTTCCAGAGGCAGTTTGGAACTCGGTAGTGAGTGTTGCAACCTAGGACAGACGTTTTATATGCGTTACGTGCTTCAGCACCTGGCGGTCCCGTTCTGTAAGCTTGTGTGGCCTACCACTTCGCGGCTGAGCCGTTGTTGGTCCTATACGTTTCCACTTCACAATAATAGCACTTACAGTTGACCAGGGCAGCTCTAGCAGGGCAGAAATGTGATGAACTGACTTGTTGGAGAGGTGGCATCCTATGACGGTGCCACTTTGAAAGTCACTGAGCTCTTCAGTAAGGCCATTCTACTGCCAATGTTTGTGTCTGGAGATTGCATGGCTGTCTGTGTGCTCGATTTTATACACCTGTCAGCAATGGGTGTGGCTGAAATAGCCAAATCCACTAATTTAAAGTGGTGTCCACATACTTATGTGTATATATATACACTACCAGTCAAAAGTTTGGAAACACCTACTCATTCAAGGGTTTTTCTTTATTTTTAAAATTTTTTACATTGTAGAATAATAGTGAAGACATCAAAACTATGAAATGACACATATGGAATCATGTAATAACCAAAAAAGTGTTAAACAAATCAAAATATATTTTATATTTGAGATTCTTCAAATAGCCACCCGTTGCCTTGATGACAGCTTTGCACACTCTTGGCATTCTCTCAACCAGCTTCATGAGGTAGTCACCTGCATTTCAATTAACAGGTGTGCCTTCTTAAAAGTGAATTGTGGAATTTCTTTCCTTCTTAATGCGTTTGAGCCAATCAGTTGTGTTGTGACAAAGTAGCGGGGGTATACAGAAGATAGCCATATTTGGTAAAAGACCAAGTCCATATTATGGCAAGAACAGCTGAAATAAGCAAAGAGAAACGACAGCCCACCATTACTTTAAGACATGACGGTCAGTCAATACGGAAAATTTCAAGAACTTTGAAAGTTTCTTCAAGTGCAGTTGCAAAAACCTTCAAGCACTATGATGAAACTGGCTCTCATGAGGACCGCCACAGGAATGGAATACCCAGAGTTACCTCTGCTGCAGAGGATAAGTTCAATAGAGTTATCAGCCTCAGAAATTGCAGCCCAAATAAATGCCTCACAGAGTTCAACTAACAGACACATCTCAACGTCAACTGTTCAGAGGGGACTGTGTGAAGAAGGCCTTCATGGTCGAATTGCTGCAAAGAAACCACTACTGAAGGACACCAATAATAAGAAGAGACCTGCTTGGGCCAAGAAACACGAGCAATGGACATTAGACCAGTGGAAATGTGTCCTTTGGTCTGGAGTCCAAATTGGAGATTTTTGGTTCAACCGCTGTGTCTTTGTGAGACGCGGTGTGGGTGAACGGATGATCTCCGCATGTATAGTTCCCACCGTAAAGCATGGAGGATGAGGTGTTATGGTGTGGGGGTGCTTTGCTGGTGACACTGTCAGTGATTTATTTAGCATTCAAGGCACACTTAACCAGCATGGCTACCACAGCATTCTGCAGCGATACGCCATCACATCTGGTTTGGGCTTAGTGGGACTATCATTTGTTTTTCAACAGGACAATGACCTAACACACCTCCAGGCTGTGTAAGGGCTATTTTACCAAGAAAGAGAGTGATGGAGTGCTGCATCAGATGACCTGGCCTCCACAATCCCCCGACCTCAACCCAATTGAGATGGTTTGGGATGAGTCGGATGGCATGGTGAAGGAAAAGCAGCCAACAAGTGCTCAGCATATGTGGGAACTCCTTCAAGATTGTTGGAAAAGCATTCCAGGTGAAACTGGTTGAGAGAATGCCAAGAGTGTGCAAAGCTGTCATCAAGGCAAAGGGTGGCTGCTTTGAAGAATCTCAAATATAAAATATATTTTGATTTGTTTAACACTTTCCTGGTTACTAAATGAATCCTTATGTGTTATTTCATAGTTTTGATGTCTTTACAATTATTCTACAATGTAGAAAATAGTAAAAATAAAGAAAAACCCTTGAATGAGTAGGTGTGTCCAAACTTTTGACTGGTACTGTATATATATTAATTGTTGGACATAAAAGACTGTAAAAACACCGGCAAATCAACTCCAATTGATTTTAATTTAGGTAATTTGTTCCAAAGTATTACCATGCATAATAGAGAGATAAATGATTGTATAAAATGTAAGCAAGGTTTGAAATGATTATGTTTTAGTAAAATGTTTGGGCTTCTTGCGGTCAATTTGTAGTCTACACATTATTTGTAATTATTTTCTGGCCCCCTGACCATCGGCTCAAGAAATAATCGTCCCACGGCTGAATCTAGCCGATGAACCCTGCTATAGGATAAACCCTACTTGCTCATATAATTTCAAGGTGTTTGAAAACCCCATGTCTTTTTGAAAATTATAGCCTTTCCTGTCATCTGAAAAAGTAGTGCCTACAGCAGCTCTAAACGCAGGTACTCGCACAAACACAAAGAAAGAGTAAGAAAGAGTAAGAGAGAGAGAGAGAGAGAGAGAGAGAGAGAGAGAGAGAGAGAGAGAGAGAGAGAGAGAGAGAGAGAGAGAGAGAGAGAGAGAGAGAGAGAAAATCTTGAGTCCTTTCTTTGTCAGTTTGCTCATAACTGTGAAAGCATATCCAACTTTAGTTATTATCTATAGGCTATACTTGATTTATTATGTTTACGACAGCCTTCGTCCTACATTCCTGGCGAATACCTGTCGAATAGGTCTCCATGATGCATCTAAGTTGTATAAGATTTGTTAATATGGGATCCCTTTTGTCAAAAAGAAATAAGCCACATTTGCACAAAAAAGTGCACCTCAGTGAAAAACAAAAGGGATTATTATTTACCTGTGCCCATTTATCTCCACAAAGGAAAAAACGTTTTATCATGCTTAAAATCTGAGATGATCGTTATCGACTATGCTATCCCTGCTCTTCGATTTCATCCGTTTAGATAAGATGCATTGTGCGTTACGCATTGTGAGTAAATCAGAATTCAAAATGAATAATATATTCTCAAATGATTAGGCTATAGGCTAATATCTAAATGTTTGGGTACAAGAATGCTCGAATAGGCAGATCATTATGAGTATAATTGTCATAAAAAAATAGTATTATTATCATTCATTCTTTATTTAGCCGACTGCAGTAGGCTATAGGCCTAAAGTGATTAAGGAATGAATCTTCCGTTCTCGTGGTTGTGGACGGTCGTGCACACTGACCTCGCGCTATCATGATTTTCAAGAGAGCGGCGTGACCTTTGAATCCAGCCACACTTTGAGCAGCGCGCTCTGTCTGGCTCTCATTTGATACAAGAGCAAATTGTGGGTTTTATCTTTCTAGCCTAGCACACAAATAGTTGAGGAATTGAGTGAGCACTGTAGTGCACGGCAAGGCAATTTCATGCTCTGATATCATCACGCCTCTCATAATAAAATGTCCCTTTGTAAAATATACGGTATGAATATGGATACCGTTACACCACTCACTTGAACCAATGAGCTGCAAACCAACTCCATAGACACTACAATTTATTAATGTAATCCTTGAAATATATTGCACAGAGCAGTGCAACATACAAAAAAAGAGCAGTGTTGCCTTTTTTCCAATATAAAAATGTTTATTTGGAAACATTGTTTAGATGTAGCCTAGTACATGTATCCCCTCTAATCATCGAGGGAGATAACATATATTTCAAGAGAGTCTGATGCTGCTGTTTGTTGGTAGTATTCCAAGATATGGTGAATCCAACACGAGTTGAGTCATATATCCTTTCGGCCCAAACAGGTGAGAGGCTTAAATCAAGCGGCAGGCAACTAATGATAACAGCGGCCGACTGATTGTTAGGGACTCGCAGTTCAGGAAGAAAGTACGATAACAGAGAGATTCATAGTTTTTTCAGGCTGTTTTTTCCGATAAAATCTTTGGCTTGAAGTGGCAGATCACGCAGTACGTTCATCGAGATTTGATATAAGAGAGAGATCACAACACAGTAGGCCTAAAGCGACAAAGATAACAATCATATAATTATCCAGCAAGTGCGGGATGAGTAGTCATATTTCTATAGCTTACCCCTTCTCCTTAAATTATATATACAATGTCTTATTTTCGGCTATTCATTTTCATTCATGTTTGTAGTTTGTAGGCATACTTTTGATAGTTTATGTCCATACATAGCCCTATCAACAAATGGAAAATCTCTTTACAATAGCCTTTACTTTCCACAAATATTGTTCCCCCAAAAGGTGACTCCTGCAAGCGAAGTCTCAGTCACTCTCCTCCTTGTCTTCCTGAATGGTGGTGGTGGAATGGTTGTACAATCCTTGCGCCATGAGCTGGAGAGCCAGGCCGTTCTTATAGCCGTTGGCCTTTTTTATTTTCGCCCGTTTGTTTTGGAACCAGATTTTGATTTGTGACTCATTGAGGTTGAGCTCCTGGGCTAGAGACTGTCTCCTCTGCTCCGTGATGTAACGGTTGGCCTGGAACTCCGTTTTCAGTCTTTGGAGCTGCTCAGCCGTGAACGCCGTTCTGGGTCGCTTGTCTTCCTTTTCGTTTTTCGTCTTTTTCAATTTCCGTGTCCTTGGGCCTACAGTAGGGACGACAATAAAAACGGGAATATAAATATTCAGCGAGTGCCAGACACCTAGTCTCACTTTCATCACCCAAAACCAATTCCATTAAAGATTTTAGGCTAGACCTAATAATAAATGTAATAAATAAAAACAATGTACCCAAATAATAACCATGATCCTATAATTATAATAATAAAAAGAAACAATGTAATGATGATAGGCTAATAATAATAATAATAATAATAATAATAATAATAATAATAATAATAATAATAATAGTAATAGTAATAATAATAAACGTTATTATAGGTTAATACTTTGCTATAATCTAACGGTATGGTCATCCCAATGGTAGGCCTATAATAATAACTATGAATAACATTATGTACTGCGAAGAATAAGGTCCATTGGGCACTGAGCGGCAGGCCTTTGTGTGATGGTAACACTAGCTGTAGGTCGACTTTCATCATTATTTAGCAAAAATATGCTAACCAAAAAACTGTAGGCTACTAAAGCCAACTACATCCATTTAAAAACATACAATCGTTTTAGGACTATTGGCCAAGTGTGTCGGGTATAGGCCTTTCATTGATCAAAAGTAGTTGTAGGCCAACTAAAAAAAGAATCGTTGAAGCTCAGTGATCTCTAGCTGTTGACATAAGAACGGCATTCAGATATTTTGTACCAAATGAAGACTCAGGTATAGGCCTATGTGCAAAAGCGTAGCCTACGCTACACTATACATTTAAATATAAAATGGTGTCCTTTGTTATCATGGGTCTACAGACAAACAAATAAACAATATGATGGGAAATATAATTTATCCGTTAATATTTATTTCTTAAAATTGTATTTGATGCTAGGCCTAATCCTATATAATTTCCTAACACAAATACTACATCTTCAGTAAATAGTTTTTGTTTTAGATTAACTATATATAGCTTTACATTTCCTGTTATTATTTTTGCACAGATTTTATCAATACCTAAGGCATAAAACACAGTCTATATTTTTGACAAGTTTATGGTAATTATGAAAAGCCCATTTATTCACATGCCAAAACACCATTGGAACCATTGGACTATAGAACTTAGAACAAAAGAAACATTGTGCACGCTTACCATTTAACGTAGCCTACCATTGATTAAATACAGTTAGTTGGGGAATTACACTAAGTGCATACTCAGATAATATACTATCAAGACAGGCAAAGTTTTTAATTAATTCAACATGTTGACAGCACTGATATTGTTATTCTAGTTTTTTTCCCGGTGCACTTTCTTTAATTTTATTATATTCAACCTTATTTTTCTAAAGTCTCGTTGAGATTTTAAAATATATATTGTACAGGGTCTAATAAGACTATTGTAGGTTATGAATCATATAAATGTATAGCCAGTATAGCCCTATATTGGCCTACACCTTGATTCTGTTGAATGTACGAGCTCTATCTCTCTTTCAATCCAATTAATGGAGTATGTTCTCATGTTAAGTGACACATTTTAAAACGTGTCATATCTGCAAGGCATTTTGGGGTGAGCCTAAAAGATGCAACCAGTGGCCAGGACCAAGATCTCACTTGTAAATAAGGAGAGTGAAATGTTAGGCCACACAGTCATCGATGAAATGTTGTTTACATTTTCTGATATGTTCTCAAATGGACCAATGCTGCTCTTGAAAACCACCTATTCGATTTTTCACTGTTTCAATTCATTTGACTTCTCTCGGTAGAACACAGTAGATGTCACACAATCCTATTACAAAATTAAGTATCACAAAATGATCCAAGTGTCCTTTTTTCTGCTTTTTTGTTCCATATATTTTTGTAGTAGGCCTAAATAATGGATTATTTACATATGATATAGCATAATTTAAATTTGAGAAAGTTTGCTTCCAGTTGAAAATGGATTGAGTAGGCTTACAATATATTGCTTGCTTCATATGGCACCCCTAAAGGTTCTATATAGAACCCTTTTGTCGGGTTCTTTGACCAGAACCCCTGGGGCTCTTCTTCACTGAACCAAAATTGGTTCCATATAGAACCCTTGGGTTCCATTTAGGGTTCTATATGGAATATATAGGGTTCTATATGGAACCAATTTCGGTTCTGTATAGAACCATTAGGGGTGCCATATATGAATGTAGCAAGCATAGATATAATCATTTTTGGATCTATCCAGAACCTTTTTTCCTAAGAGTGTATGTTAGCCTACATTTTGTACTACAGACAGTCACTATTTTCATGCATTAACAGGACCACTATGCCATAACCTACATATATTGTCCTTTATCACAGTGTAAAAAGAAAGTATAAAATACAGTTGAATTTAACGAATAAAGTTGCAACTTCGAATACAAGCATGTTGAGGAAAGACTTATATTTATGCAAAGGGTCAATAAGGCATTTATAACATTACGCATTAGGCTACAATACCCTGATAAAAGCTTGTTCAAGAAACTATTGCCTCACCAGATGACGGCCTGTCCGAGTATCTAGTGCAGTACACCCAGGCAGGCCACAGCAGCGGCTGGGACTCGGGGTTGGGCGCTGTGCCGCCACTACCGCCGTTCACAACCATAACAGAAGAAGTGTTCTCGCCGAACTTTGGCGTGCTGCCTCCAGAGCTCTCGTCAGCCTTCGATGACGAGGTGCTCTTTTTGGGGGTGGGAGACAAGGCCAAGGACGAGGTGGAGGAAGAAGTGCTGTCGCTGCTGCAGTTGGAGTCCTGGCATGGCGTTCCAGGATGATTCGACCTGGCGACCAAAGGTTGGGCGCGCTCTCGGCTGGAAGTCTGCGCCCGCTCCCTAGCCCCTAAGCCATGCTCCTTCCTGCAGCCGAAATCTGGCCGCAGAATATTGTCAATAAAAAAGTTCGTGGTTCTGTGCGCCTGCTGCGCTGCTTGGAGGGGCAGGATGGGCGGCGAAGGCAGACTGGGAGAAGGAGACACGCTCTCCCCTTCACTCGACTCCGGGCTGTGTAGAGCCCTTTGCTTCTCCATTGCTGAAAAGGGCTGCAAAGGGGTCGATCCAGGTTCCTAACTAATTCCACTTGTTGGTGTGTATTGGTATCCAAATATGAAAAGAATGAAGCAATACGGTGACCACTAAAGGATCATTACTACCTCTCTGATTTGGGGCACTTTTTGATTTCTAAATTGTTGGCATCCCTCGTGCGTAACGCTCCAACGTGTCATGGTCGTTGACAATGACAAGACTGACAAGGCATTGCGCTCTCCTCTCGCAGCCCCGAGCTTTTCACCACTGTTGGTATGACAGTTCGATCTTCACCAACTCCTCACATCACATTTCCCACACCAACCGGAAGCACGTGAACCCCTTCGAACGTGCAGTGGGCCAATCAATGACCGAGACACTTTTGGACACGGGTGACGACGTCCAATAATGTCTCGCAACTCTGGGTAAGTAGGCTGCATGCTACCAACTGGGTTTTAAGAAAACCAAACAAGAGATTATCACCGCTAGGCGCCTTCTGCAACCTTATCTATTCACAGCAAAATAATGCTAGATCTATAGGAGAATACAATAATAACATATACGGATATTTCACCTCAGTCAAAATATGTTGTCACTCAAACAGGCTTTATGGTGTTTTCGATTATTGTACAATGTTGCTACAGCCAAATGGGCCTTTTGATATTAGCGTTTATCATTAAGGGTAGGGTAGGGTTGTATAGTCACTGGTGAACAGGGGTGGAATGGCATTATAGGTGCGCACGCACACACACCAAAAGGTTCCATCAGCCAAATGTATAACGATAATGAATAGTGTAGGCCATTTGCAGATGCAACGCAATCAGCCCAGTCCAGCCCACATTGTTTAATTTAATTTGGGCCTACAAAACTGAAATATTATCCACAAGCTATTTGTTGGTACTTAATTAAATTCTAATTAGGACACTATCATTATCCCATTTAGTAGCCATTGTGAGGATGTTGTGAGACGCAATTCTTTTCTGACGGTAAATGGGCGCAGGGACTGTTATCTTGACTGCAAAGAGATGCCTTAAGATAGACCGCTAAGGAAAATTCATAGGTTTTAATTACTCTTCACTCCGATTGATCAGCTAGGGGTCCATCACATGGGCCAGAGGAAAATGTCGTCACTAGTTACCACAGCCACGAAATCATAAACCCCGCCTATTTCTACAATTGATCTTCTTAAAATCGGATTTAAAACCTAACCCTAACCTTAGGCTTAACCTTAACCACACTGCTAACCTTATGCCTAACCCTAACCTTAATTTAAGACCAAAAATGAATTATTACAATATAGCCAATTTTGACCTTGTGTCTGTGGTAACTAGTGACAACCAGAATGGGAAAAAGGCAGTCAAAAGCTGTCATCTTTCTGAGGCTCAAATACAGTCCTTCTCAAGGTACTGATAAAACGCAATGAACTGAATAATACCAGGGTCCTCGGAGACGCCATTTACACAAATGAGTTTATTGAAGGCTTAACGTTCGGTAATTCATATCACCTCTCATGTAGCGTTCTGGAGCCTGCTCCTCCACAGTGGAGAGATGGATGTAGCTTTTATAATGTAAACGCCTTTGGACCCGTGCACGGGAAATGGTCCAGAAATAGCCGTTTCTGCATTCTCAAATCCTTCATTAAAATGTTCAATCACCATGTAAACTACCAGCACATTTTACTCGACAAATCCAGAGAACAAGGGGTTCCAAAACAGTTTTTTTTTTTTACATCAATGGTGCATTGCGCAATGGCCTTGAAAGGAATATATAGGCCTACAGTCATCATAGACTATTGGAGAGGCACATTTTTGCTCGTCATGCAGCCTACCATTTTTTGTGTGTCAGGTTGAGGTGGTACATTTGTTTTGAAAATATTATAAGAATATTATAGTTTGAGACTATATAAGTATTGTTCCCTCTCTCTTACACACACACACACACACACACACACACACACACACACACACACACACACACACACACACACATACACATTAATCCATACTAGAACCTGGTCACAAATTTCAAGAACCATCTGAAGGAAGATTTATCATAATTATTATAATTTTTTGCTAGGCCTACCATTTGACCGTACAGTGTTTAATATGAGCCAGCTTCAAACTTCACCTCATAACGGACACCATGCAGTCACCTGGACAAGCAGGCTGTCTGGGAGTTGGCGGTGCCTTTGGAACTGACGATGCGCTTTGTTCATGCAATTGGAATGTTCGCTTCTTTTTGGAAACAGATGTTCTTGAAACATTGCTCTAAATTGCCACTAAATAGTATACTGCATTTTCAGTAAATAAAAATTGAAAGACACAGAGGAGACTATGGGAAAACACTCCATATATTTCCAAATAGGCTCTCTCAGATATGCATAATTTTCCATAATATTTCACTGGAAAGCATATTGATTGCCTAAAGCCTGCATGCGCTTATACGCACTTTTATTCCCCAATGGCCTGTGTTGTTTTTAATTGATTCGTTTTTTTCATTTAGGCTATTTTGTCTTCGCCTACTGTAAATATTAGCCAATAGCAATGTCCTGCTTAAATGATTTTAGCTTGAACTGAATTTCTTACTTTGTAATTTGAAAGGAAGTTAACATAGAATGCATTAGCCTACTTAAGTGAAACATTTTGACAAAATAAAATTATTCTCTCAAACTTTTGGTAATTCGTTTACAAACTCGTATAACATTTAGACTGTATTTTTAAGCAATTCCAATGAAGTAGACACATTTTGGGAAAATTTCGAGAAGGCTGCCTACGATTTCTTCGGCAGAATATAAATAAACATTAATACGCCTACCTCCAATCCACAGCTTTCCATTTGAAACCGGAATGTAAAGCTGTACTATCCTGAACAATTGCTAAAATAATCAATGGTAGGCCTAAACTTCAAAACTATATTCTGTTCCATAATGTGTTTTCTTTTAGGGCATCAAGGAATTGTAACTGGGAATCTTTCAGGACATGGAGCAATCAAGTTCAACAGAGCATTTACAGGAAGTTATGATAATTAGATAAAGGGGTGTAGGCCTAGGGTTTTAATTATAATATTTACATTTTTACATTTTTAGTCATTTAGCAGACGCTCTTATCCAGAGCGATTTACAGTTAGTGAATACATATATATATATATATTTTTTTTTATACTGGCCCCCCGTGGGAATCGAACCCACAACCCTGGCGTTGCAAACGCCATGCTCTATCAACTGAGCTACATCCCTGCCGGCCATTCCCTCCCCTACCCTGGACCAATTGTGCGCCGCCCATGAGTCTCCCGGTCGCGGCCGGCTGCGACAGAGCCTGGATTCGAACCAGGATCTCTAGTGACCACTGCGCCACTCAGGAGACAAGATCATTTAGATGTTCTGTCTTTACAATTCACTATGGGGGGAATTCCGAACCGAATTAAGCGTGTGTAAATGGCAAGTAATTACCTTTTTTTATGTACTTTTCTCTCTACCTATTCTGACCTTGAACTTAAGCATGAGAATAGCATGCTATTCACCCACTATTAGTTTGAGGTGGAGATCGAATAAATGAAGGTGTGACAGAGGTGTGTCTACAGATACACCATATTCTGACCTTGACTTAATTCCCTAATCATTCCACCACCTTTATGCATGAGGAACCCCATGAATAAGGTCTAGCTAACCTACCGGTTCTAAGTGGAAAATCTACTTAATTTTTTTGATAGAAATAAGACCATTCTCCATGCACTGTAATTTACATCTTGATAAGAGCTATTGATAAGAGCTAGGTTAATGAGTAATCTGTTTGGATAAAGGATTTGTAAATATTGATAATACTTGTTTTAGATCAATTTGACCTTATAATCGCTGGGGACGAATGTGAAATCAGTCACATGGCAGCAAACTGAAGCATATCAACATATCAACTTTCCCACAGTTTATGAAATTCTGTGCCATTATGCAGATTTGAAATTGTACTGCCTTTTAACTTGCAGGGATGGGCACTCTCAAATGTCTTAATTATAGGCTACCCCGACTTTCTCTGTTTCCTATTTCTATCATGTTAAAAATTAGCCACTATCATTATCGACTGTCAATAGGCCTCATAACCACTCTTATACAACTACCAATTTACTGTTAGTTCCCTTCAGTTGATCTAGCCTAGGCTACATTATCATTCCATTTAATTACATTGTTTGTTTACCTTCATTTGCTTCCTCTGTAAATGCGTCATGCCCATGGCCGTGTGGTTGTTGCTGAGGATCATTGTACAAAATAAACAAAAACACGAGGCTAATTAAATCATTATGGCAGCCAGGTCACCCGTGATACAAGTCAGTACTCGACGTCCACCCATGTCTGAGGACATCGGGAGATGATGTTGAAACCGGCCAATAGGGGCAACAGTGAGCACTATTACCTCCAAGTAGGTTTCGGTTTTGCTATGGCGTTGTGGGTGGTGGATGGGTTTAAGCATCTGCCTCTGGTGCAAAAAGTCTGCCTCTGGTGTAAAAGGTTGCTTGTTCAAATTCAGTCTAAAGGTCATATGAACAAAAAACTAAAAAACAACTTTCTATTGCTGTTCGAATCCAACAATAGAAACAACTTTCTATTGCTGTTCAATCCAGCAATATGAAGTTGTTTTTGAGATTTTAGTTTTAAGCCTATCCCAAACCTTAACACTTACTTCAACAATTCCGAGTCAATGCCTAAACTTAACCCTAACCTTAAAAATTCGGATTTAATGCCTAAACTTAACCTTAAACGTTTGACGTTTGGAATTTGACGTTTGGAACAACTTCGAAGTTTGATGTTTGAGAAACATGGATGATCATCTAATTCTGAGGTGAGACTATGAGAGCTTGTTGGTTATGGAGCAGAGGGCAGACCAAGCCTTAACAGTTTGATCCCGACTCATAGCGCAATATTTGGCCGTATCATCACACAGTTCCATGGTTAGTGCAGGCAACAGATGATGGGTATAGCCTACTATTGTACACTATACTCCCTATTATAATTATA